CATGATGGTGCACTTGTTCTTGTGGGATTCATGTGGTCTCTAAGTGTTCTAGCACGATTATTCTCATTATTTTCATTATGAAGTGATTGATTATCTTCTTCGGCCATATTTTCTGAAAATGATGAGTATACCCTACAAAGTCTACCACTTGATGTACGTGACCACACTCTCATGCACGTGTAGAAATAGAATAAAAGGAAAAAGAAAACAAAAGAAGAAGAAACAAGAGAAAAGAAACAAAGTTATATACAATAAAAGTGAAAAGAGAAAATAAAATAAATATTATAATTTATACAAGAACTTACCTCCCCGGCAACGGCGCCAAAAACTTGACACGACTAAAAGGTTGATAAATTCATCTTTCCTGTGGATTTTATTGTCTTGGATACACAACCTGTTGAAGCATGCAATTCAATTCCTGTTATTTTAGGACGTCCATTTCTTGCAACTTCTAATGCATTGATTAATTGTCGGAATAGAGTGATGAAGTTATCTTTTGGAAACATGACATTAAAAATGAATGTTTTTAACATTTGCAAGCAACCTAGAGATGATAATAATTTACAAGAAGTAGATTTTATTGAAAAAATAATTTATGATCAATTTGAAAATTCTTCCAATGAAACTGAGTTTAATGAATCTGAAGATTTGCAAATGGTTTGTTTTCAGGAAGAATCAAAGGCAAATATTTGGAGACCAAAAATTGAGGAATTGCCACCACAATCAATTGGGTCCATACCTTCAAGTGTTCAACCACCAAAACCCGATTTGAAGCCATTGCCATGTAATCTCAAATACTTATTTTTGGGAGAAAATGAAACTTTCCCGGTAATAATTTCTTCCAAACTTAATGTTCATCAAGAAGGTAAGTTATTACAAACTCTAAAAATGCACAAAAATGCATTAGGATGGACCATAGCTGACATAAAAGGAATTAGTCCTTTGATTTGCACACACAAGATTTATTTGGAGGAAAATGCTAAACCCTCTAGAGAAATGCAACGAAGGCTTAATCCTAATATGAAAGAAGTTGTGAGGAATGAAGTCATTAAACTTCTAGATAATGGAATCATTTATCCTATTTCTGATAGCAAATGGGTAAGTCCTACCCAAGTTGTACCTAAAAAGTCTAGAGTTACTGTGATAACAAATGAGAAAAATGAGTTAATTCCAACGAGGACTATTACTGGTTGGCGCATGTGCATTGACTATAGGAAACTCAATTCAATGACTAGAAAAGATCACTTTCCTTTACCTTTCATGGATCAAATTCTAGAAAGAGTTGCAGGTCATGAATTTTATTGTTTTCTAGATGGTTATTCAGGTTACAACCAAATTGAAATTGCATTTGAAGATCAAGAGAAAACTACTTTCACATGTCCATTTGGTACATTTGCATACCGAAGGATGCCTTTTGGATTATGTAATGCACCAGCCACGTTTCAAAGATGCATGCTTAGCATATTCAGTGATATGGTTGAACATTTTCTTGAGATATTTATGGATGATTTTTCTGTTTTTGGTGATTCATTTGATAATTGTTTAACTAATTTGGAAAAGGTTTTGAACAGGTGTGAAGAGAAGAATCTTGTGTTGAATTGGGAAAAATGTCATTTTATGGTAACAAACGACATTGTACTTGGTCACATTGTTTCATCAATAGGAATTGAGGTTGATAAATCTAAAATTGAGTTAATTGCCAACTTGCCAACACCAAAATCTGTTAAAAATGTTAGATCATTTTTAGGACATGCTGGTTTTTATAGAAGGTTTATCAAAGATTTTAGTATAATATCTAAGCCATTGTGTAACCTTCTAACAAAGGATAATGTTTTTGAATGGACTGAATATTGTGAAGAAGCCTTTGTTAAACTTAAAAACCTGCTTACATCTGCTCCTGTTATTCAACCTCCTGATTGGTCATTACCTTTTGAAATAATGTGTGATGCTAGTGATTATGCCGTGGGTGCTGTTTTAGGACAAAGAAAAGATAAGAAACCCTATGTCATTTACTATGCAAGTAAAACTTTAAATAGTGCTCAAATAAATTACACAACCACTAAAAAAGAATTACTTGCTGTAGTATTTGCGTGTGAAAAATTCAGATCTTATCTTGTTGGCTCACCTGTTATTGTTTTTAGCGATCATGCAGCGTTGAAATATCTTCTTTCCAAGAAGGATTCTAAAGCTAGATTGGTGCGGTGGATTTTGTTACTTCAAGAATTCGATATCACAATCAAGGATAAGAAAGGCACCGAAAATGTTGTCGCGGATCATTTGTCAAGATTGGCAACTGATTCAAAATCTGACATCACACCAATCGATGACTACTTTCCTGATGAATCTTTACTTTCTGTCACTACAATGCCTTAGTTTGCTAATATTGTTAATTTTCTTGTTTCAGGACATTTGCCAGCGCATTGGGGCACTCAAGACAAAAGAAAGTTCTTGAACGAAGTGAAGAACTTTTATTGGGATGACCCTTATTTATTCAAATATTGTCCTGATCAAATATTTCGAAGATGCATTCCTGACAATGAGGTAAGTAATGTCATTAAATTTTGTCATTCTGAGGCATGTGGAGGTCATTTTTCGTCAAAAAAGACAGCCGCAAAAATCTTACAATGTGGATTTTATTGGCCCACCATGTTCAAGGACACGCATGCATTTTGCAAATCTTGTGAAAATTGTCAAAAGTTAGGATCTCTTTCAAAACGTCACATGATGCCTTTAAGTACTATTCTTGTCATTGAAATCTTTGACTGCTGGGGTATAGATTTTATGGGTCCATTTCCTCCATCATTTGGTTTTGTGTACATATTAGTCGCAGTAGACTATGTTTCAAAATGGATAGAAGCAATTCCAAGTCGTAGCAATGATCATAAAACAGTCATTAAGTTTTTGAAAGAAAACATTTTAAGTCGATTTGGAATCCCTCGGGCCATGATAAGTGATGGTGGAACACATTTCTGTAACAAGCCATTTGAGTCTTTAATGAAGAAATATGGAATCACACACAAAGTTTCCACCCTTTATCACCCCCAGACAAATGGACAAGTAGAACTTGCTAATAGGGAGATCAAACAAATCTTGGAAAAAACAGTGAATCCTAATCGAAAGGACTGGTCTTTAAGACTTAATGATGCACTTTGGGCCTATCGAACTGCTTTTAAAACATCATTAGGTATGTCACCTTATAGGTTGGTTTATGGAAAACCTTGTCATTTGCCTGTGGAACTTGAATACAAAGCTTATTGGGCTATTAAAGCTTTCAATTCAAACCTGGATGATGCGAGTCAGCTGCGTAAGTTACAAATAAATGAGCTTGAAGAAATAAGAAATGATGCATATGAGAATTCAAAAATTCATAAAGCAAGAATCAAAGACTTTCATGATAAAAGAATCTTGAGAAAAACATTTAATGTTGGTCAAAAAGTTTTGCTTTATAATTCTCAACTCCATTTATTTCCTGGAAAGTTAAGATCAAGATGGAGCGGTCCATTTGTTGTGAAACATGTATATCCTTATGGGGCCTTTGATATTGAGAATCCAAAGAATGGTAATGTTTTCAAGGTCAATGGACATCGTTTGAAAGCTTACTTTGATAATTTTCCTAGTGAAAATGAATCCATTGGTTTGAATGATCCTGTATATGAAGGTTGATTATTTTGTTTTTCTCATATTTTTTTGTGTTTCTTTTTGGTGTGACTTTTGTTTTGCTAGTCTTTCTCCAACCCCGGTCAAATGGCGGATAACGGTACTCCGTGACTTTTAAGTCGGTTCTTTCAGTTTCCCATGATAATTGATATCTCTGTATATATTTGTTCAATTCCTTGTTCCTTCTCTTTTCTTTACATCTCTTCTGCACTTCTCTTTAAAAACAAAACAAAAAATGGACACCACTCTTGAAAAATTGAAAAAGTATTTTCCTGCTCTGCCTTAGAATGCGATTACAAAAATTTACCGTGCTAGGTGTGAAAGATTGAGGTTGTTAATGAACCATGGAATTCCTGAAGATATTCGCTGGATAATTGAAGCAAAGATCCGATTATCAGGTGAGTCTTCCAACTCTTTTATTTCATACATGCTTGGGACAGGTAAAAGCACTTTTGCAAAGAAACGTCGTGCAAGACGACTAAAAGTCTGTCACCGATGTGCCAGATGGACTTGTAATACAAAATGTCATTCTTTAGGAATGGTATCTATAAACCGTGAAGATAAAATACAATTCATTAAGGATGGACTGAGTAAGGAGTCTTTAGATAATCTTCTATTAACTCTTGAGACGCATCCTAGTGGAGATGTGCATCGTGTAATTCATGATTTATGGCCTCATTTTCATAAAGAACATGATCGACTTAGTCTTGGGAATCTGACTGAAAAAGACCCTGTTTGCCAGTTTTTAAGAAAACTGGATGGGAAGCCTATCCCCGACCCATAGAGGGCGTTTAAGCCGTTCTTGGACGTAAAACCAAGGGAAAGCTGTGAGCCACAATCACAACTGCTTGTACATACATTTTTTTATATATATATATATATAATAATAAAATAATACCAATAAATAAATAAATAAATAAAAAAAGAAAGAGAGAGAGAGTAAGACTTCAGCTAGCCTACATATAGGTGGTATGCTTTGCATTTTCAATTGTTCATCTATAAAATCTTCTCTTCCTTCCCATCATTTCTACTCAACCCATTCATTCAGCATATATAGAAGTGTGTAGAAATGGCGAGTTCCTCTGTTTCTAAAATAAAAACTATTTGTGTTTTTGGTGGATCTAGTCCTGGGAAAGAAAAAGAATTTTTAGAATCAGCAAATCATCTTGGTCGCGTACTAGCTGAGAGAAAGATTCATTTAGTCTATGGGGGAGGCAGTCTTGGGTTAATGGGGGGGTGTTTCAATAGCTGCATTTGTAGGAGGCAGTCAAGTTTTGGGGGTTGTCCCTAAAGCTTTAGCCGAAGGGGACATCATTGGAAAAACAATTGGAGAGGAATTACAGGTCTCTACAATGTCTGATAGAATGAATACAATGTTTAACCATGCCGATGCCTTCATTGCCTTACCAGGTGGTCTAGGTACATTGGAAGAGATTTTTCATATTTCCTCTTGGGCCCAACTGAACATTCACCATAAACCTATAGGTTTGTTAAATGTTAATGGTTTTTATGATAATTTGTTGTCTTTTCTTGATCAAGCTGTGGAACAGGAATTTCTAACATCTTCGGCACGACAAATCATAATCTCTGCTGCTACTGCTGAACAATTGATTGACCAACTACAATCTTTCATCCCTGTAATTGATCCCTCCATGAGTCAACTCAATTGGTCAAACATGAAACGCCATAAAAAGCTTAAATTGGATTTGAGCCTTAGTTTGTGAAAAATTGTGTCTTTTGGTTTTATTAATAGCATAATATTTGTGTTTTGTTGTTTCTTATATTTGTTTTAGTGTGTTTCAGGTTTGTCAATAGTCGCTGTTTCAGGTGATATCTTCTACACTCTATCTTTTTGCTTAGAACATTGAGGACAATGTCTCGTTTTGGTTGGGGGGAGAGGGTAGTAGTTGATATTAAAAAAAAAAAAAACACATTATTATTACGTAACTTTATTTTATTTGCAAAACTATTGTTACTAGGATGGCAGAGTAACGGAGGAACTTTAGTGACTCTTGAGACGCATCTTAGTAAACATTCTTAACAAGGTCTATTATAATACTTCTTGAAATATTCAGATTTACAAACTCTTGGATTGTTATCTATAGATTCTGTTTATATGCTCATCTAACAAGTATTGCTAAACCTTCATTTTCACACACACACTCGAACATATGATTGTGGGTTGCACATTGGATTATTACATTATTTGTGTTCTTTTGTTAAAGGTAACAACTAAGGGAAAGGGATAGTATATAATATGCAAAAAACAAAAAAAAAACAAAATAATAATAATAATAATAATAAAAAAAAAACGAAGTAGATAAGTTTGGTTTCGTAGCCTCCTTGACTTAAGCAAATAAGCCCGAAGGGGTGTTTGAACACCTAGTACCCTAAAGTCAACTGACTTGGGAGTTATTGGCCCAGTGCTTGTTACATGGGTTGAGGAGAAAGTTTAAAGGAATCAAACATTGCACTATCTACATATCAGTATTTGCAACCCGAGTTACTAAGCTCGTAGGGGTGTCTCAACACCTGATGCCCTAAGACCAACTGGTCTGGGAGTCATTAGCCGAAAGCTCGTTACATGGGTTCAGGATACATTGTGCTATAAATTCTTGCTTTTTAAAAAAAAAAAAGAAAAAAAGAAAAAAAAAAGAGAAGATAACAATCCCAACCCAAGGAAGTTAACTTTAAACATTAGAACAAAAATTTTGTTTTCTTCCATGAAAAGCTTCATAGCTATGTTTTGATTTATTGAGCACCGAAAGAAGGTTTACTAATAACTTGTTTAAGAGGTATTAAGCAGATATATAAATTTAATGAGAGTTTGTTTATCTGGATAGATTAATAGAAGTTAAATGATGAATGCCTTGCTTTGTGGTATTTGCAAATTATTTTTCTATTTTAATGCTTTGATTACTAGGGACTAGTAATAAGCTGGTTGGGGGGTGTGATTAGTACTTAAAAGTGCATTCTCATTAAGGATTTATGTCATCATATTGCACCTAAAGTATCGTTAAATTCCCTAACAAAAGCATGTTTTATATTAGCAAGTCTAAAAATATAATATACCTTTAATTCATGGTAAATGTTCATCCTAAATGCAGGTCTATCACATAAATAAAAGGATTGATTGATGAGTTTAAGGATTGAAATTGAAAGGATAAAAAGAAGGCCAAACTTAGCAAAGTGTTGCTGGTGCATTCCAAACTCGAACACCGTTCAGTAATTTGATCATATCTGGAGCTGTAGATATCAGATTTAGGTCCATTTTATATCGATGGAAAGGTAAGACATAGACCTACAACTTTCATATGAAGTCAAAGACTCAGTTCTGCCGTTTTCAAGCCCAAATCTTAGCAACAACGAAGACGTCGGAAGCTGTCCTACAGCTCAAGCACTATTCGGTTTTTGGCTCATATCTTGAGTTCTAGAAGTCCAAATGAGCTCTGGTTTTTTTTGATGGAAAGCTGAGACAATTGCCCACAGCTTCCACAATTCAGTTGGCTATAATTCTGATGTGAGCAATGACGTTTTTGCCAGCCAACAATATCAAAAATCAGCCCACAATATCAAAAAAAACCAGCAGCCATTAATGTCAAAAACCAGCCACCAAATCAATGGATGCCCACCAATTCTTCAATCAATCAATAGTTCTGAAACTTAGCCTATAAAAGGAGGCATTGTCCATGTATTTAGTCATATTAATTTTCAGATCAAAGTTATCTTCTTGCTTTCTCTCTACATCTTTGTAATGTTCAAGTTTTCTTTTATGCTATAGTAATCTCTTGTTTATGCTATTTCCTTTCCTTTCCTATACTTAGTTAGCTTATATTATGTTTATGTTCTTATAT